GTTTTTTTTTTTTTTTTTTTGAGACAGGGTCTCACTATGTAGTTGAGACTGACCTGGAAGTCACTATGTAGCCCAGGCTGGTCTCAAACTCACAGCATCCTCCTGCCTCTGCCTCTCGAGTGCTGGGATTACAGGTGTGCACCACCACACCCAGCTTGGAAAAAGTATTTTTAATGGAGATAGTCACATATCATAAAAAGTGATAAAAATGATTTATCTTCATTTTTTTTTTTTCAATTAAGCCTGCTGTATTTCTCAGAATTGGATCTCTAAGGATATGTTAAGAGTGCATGTAGCTACTCCACATTCTTTTTTTTGTTTTGTTTTTGGTACCAGGGATTGAACTTGGGTCCTTGCACTTGCGAGGCAGGCAGCGGAACCACGGAGCTAAATCCCCGGCCCTCTATTCCACATTCTGCTCCCCCTTTCTGGTGATAGGAGGACGTCTTATTTCCATATGTCATTTCACACTCCTGTAATTGGCAGGACCAGAATGAAAAAGCCAGTCCTCGGGCTACCAAGAAGATCTCTGGTTTTAGATTTTTAAAAATCTAGCTGAGGGCCAGGGATTTAGCTCAGTGGCATTGCACCTGCCTTGCAAGCACAAGGTCCAGAGTTCGATCCCTTGTGTCAAAAAAAAACAAAAAACAAAAAAATCTAGCTGAAAGCTGAGCGTGGTGGCACATACCTGTAATCCTGGCACTGTGGGAGGCTGAGGCAGGAGGATCCCTGAGAGTTCAAGGCCAGCCTGAGTGAGACCCTGTCTCAAAAAAAAGAAAAAAGAATAAGAGCAGTTCCTGTATAGAAACGTGGTAAGGATTGAGGGGAACAATATAAAGTAGGTCCATGGTTCAAAACATGGCACATACAAGTGTTCCAATATTAATTATTATTGTCCTTTCTTCAGCCCTTTACAATATCGGAGACATGGTACATGCTGCCAGGGGCAAATGGGGCATTAAAGCGAACTGTCCTTGTATTAGTCGGCAGAACAAATCTGTATTGAGACCTGCTGTCACCAACGGGATGTCCCAGGTAAAGTGGCATATGTGAGTGTAACTGGTTTAAGCTTTAATTCTTAGTCCCAGGAAATGCCCCGTTTTCAATTGGGTCGTGCCAAGCTTCTGTAGGATTCCTGTGGAATTAGGGAATTAGGAAGCCTTCTAGAGAGACCCCAGAAATTTTTACTTATGGGATTTAGTTCCCTCTCACTGGTATAGTTTCTTTTCATTAGTCTTAAACCAATTCAGGCTTGGGTGATATAGAATATCGGGGGTTTTTGTATCTTGCCAAGATGGTGGGGGTTTTGCATGGATAAAGAGTATAGAAAAACCACCAGAAATAATTTGTTAGTTCTAGACAGAGATAGTGATTTTTTTTCCCCCAGTACCAGGATTGTGCTTATGAGGCAGGTGCAGTGCCACTAAGCTAAATCCCCAGCCCAGAGATAGTCATTTTGTCATTTCTCTGTCAGAACCAGAGTTCATTCTGGTTTGATGCTACTTTGAATGTACAGGATTGATTGATTTTGAGACAGGATCTTGCTATGTAGTTGAAGCTGGTCTTGAACTCACTGTGTAGTCCAAGCTGGTCTTCAACTCCTGAGTGCTAGGATTACAGATGGATTAAAGAATCCACAACTATATCAGGTATAATGGCATATACCTATAATCCTAGCTACTCAGGAGACTGAAGCAAAGGGATTTCATATTTTAATCCAATCCGGTCAACTTAGTGAAATCCTATGGCAAAATAAAAAAGGACTGAGGATGTAGCTCAGCACTCCCTGGATTCAATTCTCAGTAACAACCTCCACAAGAAAGTCCACAACATACTTCATACTGCTTACCTTTTTTTTTTTGAGACCAAGGCGATTGGTGGAGAGGGATCTTGACCTCACTGTGTAGCTCAGGTTGGCCTTGAACTCACTGCAATCTTCCTGCCTTGGCCTCCCAAGTGCTGGGATTACAGGTGTGCATCACCACATTGGGCTGCTGCTTACATTTTCAGTGAGAAAAGCCACAGGGGTTAATGTTGAGGGATTTAGAGATATATTTTTGGAGAGTTGACATACTAGAGCAAATAATTTGGAAACCTCGGGAATGTAACAGAGTAATAAACATCAGTTGAGCGTTTGTGTGTGTTAGAACTCTGATAAACTCTTTGCATAATCAGTCTCATTTAATCCCCAGGCTTTGTGGGATTGAGTTTTAAACACCAGTTTGCCATAGCAGAAATGATCTCCAGCATTAAAAATCTTTATTTTATAAACTTCAAGTCTTGTTCACTACATTTTCCAAAGAACTTAGCATAGTTTGCAGCAGTTTGGAGAACTTAGTATACAGTATGTTGGATTAGCCATGCTTCTAACCAGCACTCTGACCTTTTGTGCTTTAGCTTCCTAGCATAAACCCTAGTGCCTCTTCTGGAAACGAAACTACCTTCTCAGGTGGAGGAGGAACTGCAGCGGGAACAATACCAGAGCCCAACCATGTTCCTAAAGGCGATGGCACTGACATCAGACCTGAAGAGCCCCTGAAAGCTGATGGTGCAGTGTCCAATAGCAATAGTGAGCTAAAAGCCATCAGGCCTCCGTGCCCCGACACGGCGCCCCCCTCCTCTGCCCTGCATTGGTTGGCGGATTTAGCAACTCAGAAGGCGAAAGAAGAAACAAAAGGTAAGATGAACACCAGCCTCTGTCTTGCCTGTGGAAGCAGCTGTGGGTTGTTCTGAGATTCTTCAGACTCGAACATTACCATCTGCATTTATGAAGCATGTCGCTTGCTTTCTCCGGCTGATCACATAAAATAAGTGAATCTCTTTCAGTGTCTTTCTAGAAATGGAGCTTTTTAAAAAAGGGATATTCTTGGGCCCTTCCCCAGACCTCCTGAGTCAGAATTGATGGAGTTCTTAAGGAGTTTCCCAGGTGGTTCTATTCTGCATCCAGGGTTCAGACCTAAACTTAGAGAAGTAGCTTTTTCAGTGGACACGAGAGCCACCAACACACAAAGAGAATTGTTAAAAATGCAGATACCTTCACCCTACCCAGAACCATTTAATCAAAATCTCTTGGGGTAGAACCAACAATCTCCATTTTTAACAAGCTGATTCCAGTACAAGTGTTCTGGAGACCCACTTGAAGAATAGTTTTAGAAAACGAGAAAGATGAAAGGCAGATGGGAACAAAAAGAAGTTTGCAATCCAAATCTGAAAAAGAGAGGAAGCCTTAGACAGTTTAGGGGGCACTCAGCTAATTTTTAGGAGTCACTTGTCTGCTGGGTTTTCCTTCCTGTGCCTAATGCTGTTCCCGGTTATGTTCTTACAGAAGCAGGGTCCCTGAGGTCGGTGCTCAATAAAGAGTCTCATTCACCCTTTGGGCTGGACTCGTTCAACTCCACTGCAAAGGTCTCTCCGTTGACTCCAAAGCTTTTTAACAGTCTGTTACTGGGTCCCACTGCCTCCAACAACAAAACCGAAGGCTCTAGCCTTCGAGACCTCCTTCACTCCGGGCCCGGGAAGCTTCCTCAAAGCCCCCTGGACACAGGCATACCCTTCCCCCCGGTCTTCTCTACATCCTCAGCAGTAAGTGTCCTCGCTACAACTCTAGCCTTTCCTGCTTTTCCATGAAAGAACTATCAGAGATCTGATGGTTGGGTTAGAGGGTCCACGGGTGATTTGTGTTCTCTGCCTTGTCAAGCTGACAAGATCTCTCTTTACATTAAGTTTTGGGAATGTTTAAGATCCTTTACACAGGGAACCTTTTTTACCATGTTAGGAAGTCAATAAAAATTGAGACATTGAGATTTTTTCATGCATCAGTAGAAAAGTAATTAATTACAAGGAACCACTTGCTTTTCTTGTAGATGTGAAACTTTGTTTTACTTAGGCAGCATATTCACAATGTACTTACTCTTTGATATCTGATAGACATCTCAGACTTTGAGTACATCTAAAACTGAACTCCTGATCAACTTCCTGTGGGCTTGCGCCTCTTAGTTCTCCTCTCTTATTCAGTGGTATCTCCATCCTTCCAATTGCTCATCCCAAAATCTTAGAATTATTTGGGCTTCCTCTCATTTATATTTTGTATCTAATTTGTCAATAAATCCTTTCAGATATATTCAGAATGTACCTATTCCTCATCATTTGTACCTCTTTGTCTAATCTGAACGAGCATCCTCTCTTGCTTAAATTTTTGCAGTAAATTATTTATGGATTGCCTTTTTCTACCCTTTCCAGTCCATTTTCAACAGTTAGTGTAATCCTTTTCAAATGTAAGCCAGATGATGTCACCGCTGCCTAACATCCGCCAAGGCTACCTGTGGCTCCCATAAGCTAAGCAAAGTTCTTGCAGTGGACCGCAAAGCACTGGACCTGTCTGTTCCTTTCGCCTCCCCAGCCTTACCCCTGCTTTGTTCACTTGCTCCGACCCTACCCACCTCTTGCCGTCCTCGAACATGGCCAGGCGTGCTTCCTCCGCAGCGCCTTTGCACTCGTTACTTCTTCTAAGTAGGGTTTTCTTCCTGTGTAGCCACACGGCTTGCTTCAGCAGCAGCTCCTTTCTTCACTCCTGAAATGTCACCCTTGCCAGTCTTTCTTCATGCGTCACTCTTTTTAAAAGTCTGCCATACTTCCAGCCTGCACACGTAAATGTTTCCCTGCTTCTTTTTTTTATAGCACTTACCACCATCAGACATTGTTTTATTTATTGTCTGTTTCTTGCCTTTCCTAAAGGCATTTTTGACTGTTTTATTCACAGATACTGTATAGCTCTAGTGCCATGGTGTTTGATCCATAATCATATTTAGTAAGTATTTATTGAATGAATGAACTGATACATAAGGTTAACAATTTACAGGATATGAAAGGAGGATGTACAGTGAAAAAGCTCCTACCTACCCTGTCTCCCGGGCACCCATTTTCCCTTTCTGGAGGTCACCATTGTTTCTTGAATGTCATTTTAGAAATATTTTCATATGCATATAGTTTTTCCCCTTCTTTATACAAGTGTTCTAAGGTTTTCTATGTTTCAGTTTGTAGGTCTTGCAGATCATTCTAAACAAGTACTTAAATATTTTTCTCATTCTATTTTATGATTAAGGGCTGAAGTTTGATGAGCTGCAAGTGGTTGAGCCTATACAACTTGGATTATTTCTTGAATCAGTTAAAAAAAAAAAAAAAGACAAAACAGTTATTTTATAAATAAAAGTATAAATACTTGCTTCCTCCCTCAGTCCTATTTTGTTTTTGTTTTAACTTTTCTAGGATGTTACATGGTTACATGCTTTTTATAGAGATAGCAATTAGTGATACTTGAGTCACAAGATTATCAAGTTTACAAAAGCCTCCCCTCCTTCTATCTGCAACTTTAGGAATGTCACTTTCATCTCTGGGACTGAGCTTTCCATGTGCTGAAACAGATGAGAGATGCTCCGTGGGATGGTAGTGAGGGAAGAAGTGGAGAGTGATCCGCCCGCTGTCCCGTGTACAGCTCCTTTTGGGTACCCTGATACACCCTGCTGTTGGGGAAGGCACTCCCTGGCGGAAACCACTGCCTGACAGCTCTCTTCCATAACTTAAATACTGTATCTTTTGGGCAGTATATACTGACCAGAAAAAAATGTAGAACCCCCAAACTAAATGATCTTTTTCAAAAAATTATAACATTTTGTGAACTCCGCAGTCTATGTGCATATACTTAGCACAGAGCTAAGTGCCAGAGATATTCCTTAGGTCTCAAGTCTCTTTGTTGAGGCAGAGAAATCTTTTCTTTCATAAATGAAAGGCAAAATATGAAAGGTAGAAGAATTTGAGATGATAAAAAATACTGACTTTTTATCCCCCCCATTACTGAAGACATTTTTAATAACTTACTTGGAATTTAATCAGAGCTCTCAGAATTCCCTGTGAGTACAGCCGTGAGGCAGGGTTTTGAATGCTGTTCTCCTGCTGCCTCAGTCAGGCTTACTTGGTGGCTTTGTGTCTGTCAGGGAGTGAAGAGCAAGGCCAGCCTACCCAACTTTCTTGACCACATCATTGCTTCTGTGGTGGAAAATAAGAAAACCTCAGATGCTTCAAAGAGGACCTGCAACTTGACTGATACCCAGAAGGAAGTGAAGGAGATGGTGATGGGGTTAAATGTGCTAGACCCCCACACCTCTCACTCCTGGCTCTGTGATGGGAGGCTCCTGTGTCTCCATGATCCCAGCAACAAGAACAATTGGAAGATCTTCCGGGAGTGTTGGAAGCAAGGCCAGGTAAGCAAGAATAAGTAGTTCCCAGGACTAGCTGTCCCTCTACCAAGATATTTCCAGGGTTCTCTCAGAGATCTTTTGCCACGGAGATTTAGAAATAGTAAGTCTGGGCCGGGGATTTAGCTCAGTGGCACTACACCCGCCTTACAAGCACAAGGTTCTGAGTTTGAGCTCCTATACAAAAAAGAAAAGAGAAATAATGTTTGTTGATATCCTTGCTACTTCAGATTGTCTTGAATTTTTAAAACCTAGAAGATTTCTAAAACTACATTGTGCATCCTTTTACCTCAAAGCTATGTAGCTGTATTCTTTTATTGGGTACTGGGGTGCAAACTCGGGACTTTGCGCTTATGAGGTAGGCAGTGGAACCACTGCTGTAGCTCTCTTCTTAAAAGGACAGTTAAAATTCCTGTTAGGTGTGGGGTGGTGTGGGTGTTTTGTTTGTTTTGATTTGTCTTGCTTTGTTTTGTGTTTTGAGGCAGGGTCTTTCTATGTAGCCCAGGCTGGCCTCGCACTCAAAACGATCCTCCTGCCTCAGCCTCCTGAGTGCTGGGATTATAGGTGTGGGTTGCCACACTCAATTCTCCATGACTTTTATATGTTGAAATCCATAGATTATAAAACTGGAAATGAACATTAGATTTTCTTTTTTTCTTTTTTTCTTTTTTTTTTTTCCTTTTATTGAGTTTATTGGTACAATCTAGGTATATAATACTCATTAGATTTTCTTGAAGAGCCCTCCCCGGGAAACATCCTGAAGCCCTAGAGCTAATGGTATTTCCTAGATGTCTCTGGTTTGCATATGTTTGTTTCCACAGCCAGTACTGGTTTCAGGGGTGCATAAAAAACTGAAGTCTGAACTCTGGAAACCTGAAGCCTTTAGCCAGGAATTTGGAGATCAAGATGTGGACTTGGTGAACTGCAGAAACTGTGCTATAATTTCTGACGTGAAAGTTCGGGATTTCTGGGATGGCTTTGAGATCATATGCAGTAAGTAGCTTGGAAATCTAAGCAGACTAGGAAGTAGATATCTATGTACCCAGCCCTGTTCCCTGAGGGAACGTACGGTATTCTCTTGGCAAGTGGAAGCTTATGCCTAGTGCTGAGCCTATATTTTGCATGGCAATCTTATAGATTGCCATCGTGCAGGGCAGGCTTAGGCTTGAGCATGTGAGACCATGGAGTATGTTTAGCATTTTCACTCTGAGGAAAGTCCTGTGTTGTGGAGAAATATGTTATGTGCTACAGCAGTGGGTAAGGAATACAAAGTCCACCTAACCTAATCCTTTATGGGGGTTACAGTCTGAAATAAGAGGTTTGGCTCCTAAAACTCTTTGTCAGTGGAATATTGGGCAGCACCCAGCCCAGCAGATGTTTGTGAGACTGCTGTCTGTCTTCCAGAGCGATTAAGGTCAGAAGACGGACAGCCCATGGTGCTCAAACTCAAGGACTGGCCTCCTGGGGAAGATTTTCGGGACATGATGCCCACAAGGTTAGTGACCTCCAGTGGTATGATCTTCAGAGACTTGTCCTGGCTGAAGCTGTCAGAATATTACAGAGAAGTAAACTGCCTCTTTGCTTGCTTCCTCTGTAGCAAGCTAAGTCATCTTTCCTGCTGTTTTATAGGTTTGAAGATCTGATGGAGAACCTTCCTCTGCCAGAATATACCAAACGAGATGGCAGGCTCAATCTGGCCTCTAGGCTACCCAGCTACTTTGTAAGGCCTGATCTTGGCCCCAAGATGTACAACGCCTACGGTATGAGGGAGAGGCAGAATTGCCCCTTCGGTAGACCATTGTTCTCCTTTCACTCAGGGGAGATCTGTGAGTTATATGTAGAGATGATTGAGGACTGTGACTGGTGCTGGATAGGTTAATAGTTTCCAAGACTGTTTGGAATATGTTTGTTTTTGTCATACTGATTTGTGTAACATCCGCAAGGGCCCTGTCCACAAACTTTATATCTCTAGGAGTTAGATACTTTTCCAAAAATGGTACTACAGCCGGGCATGGTGGCACACGCCTGTAATCCCAGCACTCAGGAGGCTGAGGCAGGAGGATCACTGCGAGTTTGAGACCCAGCCTGGACTACATAGTGAGTTCCAGGTCAGTCTCAACTACATAGTGAGACTCTGTTTCAAAAAAAAAAGTGGTACTACACACTTGAGTAAATACCGAATAGTTTCTCTGGTGTGAAAAACTAAAAGTGTAAATAAGGTTCAAATGGTACAGTAGTGTGAAATAAGACAAAAATGGTTAAAAGAGAAGTGGGAAGGGGAGGGGAAAGGAAATAAGGGAAAAGAAAAAATGGAAGCAAAAGTCTTTGTAAATAGGGAAGGGTGAAGGGGTGAAGGGAGGGCCAGGGGTATGGGAAAAAAATAAGAACCAAGACATATCATGTAAAGGTATAGGATCTCAACTGTAAATGTAACTGTATTGTTTGCTTTAAATGTACCAACAAACTTAATGGGGAAAGACTGGTACTCAAGGAGACATACTCTTAGATTTAAAAGACTTGATTAAAAAACAGTGGAGAAGGCTGGATACCATAGTACTGAGACAGTGCTTGGTAAAGTTCAGAAATGTCTGATCTAAGTTACTATGAAAGTTGAGTTTTAATCTGAATTTCCTAATGTCTTATTTTGCTTATTAAAGAGGGACCATCTTTGGGGAATTGTTTGGTTCCATGGCCCAAGCTAAATGTCACCCAAGCTAGAAATCAAACAGTAAGAGAAAAGAATTTCTCTTTTTTTTAGTGATGCTGGGGTTTGAACCCAGAACCTCACATGTGCTAAGCAAGCACTCTGCTACTGAGCCATACCCCCAGCTCCTTTTTCTTACTAAACAGACAGACTTCACTCTCACAGTTTATTCAGTTAAAGTACATCCTTGAGCATATTTTCAGTTGTATAGTCTGTGTGGGTTCTTTATAGTGTGGACCCCTTATCTTGCTTGTTTCCCTTTTACCTCTAGGCTTGATAACTGCAGAAGACAGAAGGGTTGGCACAACAAATCTTCACTTAGATGTGTCTGATGCCGTTAACGTGATGGTGTACGTTGGGATCCCCATCGGGGAGGGTGCTCATGATGAAGGTAGGATTTCTAGAAAAACTGCTTCAGATGGTAAGGCTGGCCCTCCAGGTAGCATTGCACATTTTCCTCCTGAGTCAGAATCAGTAGCTTTTTCTTACTACGATTCTACCAGGCCTTATGTGTAGGTACTCAAGGGATGCTGCCACACAAAAACTGGTTCTAGGAGAGAGGAGTGTTGGATTGTGTATCTCTGACCAGAGCCTCTTTCTGGGTATAGTGTTCTTTTCCTCTGAGTGTGTAGTCTCACAAAGAGAATGAAGAAGAAAGGACAAACTCATCTGTTAGGGCTATCAGCCAGATCAGATGTGGAGTGAGATGTTAAAGCCAGGTCACCTGCATAAAAATATTTTGCTGCCACCTCTTTTTTTTTTTTTTCAATTGAGGCAGGGTGTCATGTTGTGTATTTAGGCCGGTCTTAAACTTACTGTGTAGCCCGGGTTGGCAATCCTCCTGCCTCAGCCTCCCAACTACTGGGATTACAGGTGTGCACCACCACGCCCAGCAGCTACCTCTTAGGCTAAGTGTTTATCTCAAGAGCACTAACAATACTATGGTCCCCATTGTATTAATGGCTGGTTGCACAGGATGCCTTCTAGAACAGCTCAGATCTGATTGTTAAAATTAGTGTGTGGTGGACCAGGGATTTAGTTCAGTGGTAAGGTGCCTGCCTCACAAGTGCAAGTACAACATCCCAAGTTCCATCCCCAGTACCATACACACACACACACAAAAAAAAAAAAATTCATGTGTGGTTTATTATGAAAGTTTCAGAGAAATGAGTTAAAAAAAAAAAAGAAAGCAACTTAAAATTTCAAAGTTTAGGAATAATCAGTATTATTATCTTGGTATATTTTTAATTTGCTTACGATGCTGCATATTTACAAACCCTTGCATTAAGTTATCTTTTAGGGTGTTGTTCTTGATAAGCAGTAGAAGCTAATACTCTTTAACTTGGCAGAGGAGCTTTGCCCTTTGTAGGCTTGAATTCACAGAATCCTAGAGGTTCGAAAGGTCTTGCAGTAGGAAGTAGTCTGCAAGTTAAACATAAGAGATGGCTATGCAATTTGAGCAAAAAATGTGTCTTAATGAAACTGTACCTCCAAAAATGCTGGGTCTCTATAGTATTAAGTAAAGGAAGTTTAGTGTTGTTTTTCCTGTGTGTGGACCTGAAACCAATATGAGTTTTTCTTGGTTTTGTTTTGGGGGTCTTTTTTTGTGTTTGGTTGTTTTTTTTTTAAACAGTCTCGTTATGTAGTTCAGACTGACCTTGAACTCACTATGTAGCCCAGGCTGGCCTTGAGTTTCTGATCCTCCACCTCAGCCTTCCAAATGCTGGGATTATAGACATGTACCACCACGCCCAGCCCTCCAATATGAGTTTTGATTCTTTGTTTTAAAATTTGAGAAAGATAGGAAAAAAGACCAAACTTGTTTGAATTAGACATTGTGCTTCACTCCAAGGTATACTGAAATAACCAACTGCCTTGAATTGTTTTGCTCTTTCCAGAAGTACTCAAGACAATTGATGAGGGAGATGCTGATGAGGTAACAAAGCAAAGAATTCATGATGGAAATGAGAAACCAGGTGCTTTATGGCACATCTATGCCGCCAAGGATGCAGAAAAGATCCGAGAGCTGCTCCGAAAGGTATGCCTCTGGGTGGGCTGGAAGCTGAGCCAGCACGCCTAGGGTTTGTCGTGGGGGTATTAAAGACCTGTTAATGTTGAAGACATGGCTCAGGGGTACAGCACTACTTGCCTAAGCATGCCTGAAGCCCTCAGTTCAATACCACATAAAAAAGGAAGAAGACAGATAGCCCTTAGCCATGGTATTTCTCTCTCTCTCTCTCTCTCTTTTTTTTTTTTTTTTTTTTTTTTTTTTTGTAATGGGGATTGAACTCAAGACCTTGTGCTTGTGAGGCAGGCAGCAGAACTACTGAGCTAAATCAATCCCCGGTGGTATCTCTTCTTAAAATGACCAGAAGGCCTGAATTAACACTTAGTATTGAATAAAATAAAGCAAAAGCTCACCAGAAATAGTACTGTAGCAAATTGGATTTATGCTCTGTGTTACTTTTCTCTCATTGCTGAGACAAAATACCTGACATCCAAAGTTGAAGGAGAAAAAGTTTATTTGACTTACAGTTCATAGAGGCTTCATTCCTTAATCAGCTGGCTCCAAGGCAGGGTAACAGAGGGGCAGCAGTTCATGACAGCAGAAGCATCAAAAAGCAACAAGAGTTGTAGGAGGGGTGTCACGAGGAAAAACAGTTCATGGTGCCCACAAGGTAGCCAAAGCAACAAGGGATCTTAACAGTGTCTTTCTGCTCCTTTCATTTTACTCACACTCGTCAGAGTGATGCCAAACCAGTCACTGTGTGTAGTGAGTGATTTAGTAATCACACACCCTTAATCCTAGCATCACATGTGCCAGATTTAGCCACCTTTTTTTACTTTTTTTTTTGGTACCAGGGATTGAACTCAGGCCTTGCTCTTGCAAGGCAGGCTCAGTGGTTCCACCGCCTGTCTCACAAGCACAAAGACCCGAGTTCAATCCCCAGTACCAAAAGAAGAAACAAGACAGCATGAGCTGGGGATTTATTCAGCTCAGTGGCACCGCACCTGCTTCTAAAGCTCAAGGTCCTGACTTCGATCCCTGGTACCAAAAAAAAAGACTGCATGAGGCTTTGAGGGGACATCTAGACACAAGCCACAGCATGCTGTTAACTTTTTCTTTTTTTGAGACAGGGTCTTGTTGTGTGCCCCAGGCTGGTCTCAAATTCATGGCAGTCCTCCTGCCTCACCCTCCCACAGGCTGGGATTACAGGAATGTGCCACTACTCCTGGCTAACTTTTATATATTTTTGGTAGTAACCCTTACTTTAGGGGAATATGTTCTAAGACCTTCAGTGGATACCTAAGCCATCAGTAGTACCAGACTCTGTATTATTCTATCTTTGCCTATGCATACATACCAATGACAAAGTTTATTAATAAGGCACAGTAGAAAATTAATAATATAGAACCATTATATTGTAATAAAAGTTACCAGGAATGTGGTCAATATCTTACTCTCACCCCTGTTACCCTTTCAAAATATCAGAGCCAGATGTGGTGGAATCCAGCACTTCGGAAGCTGAGACAGGAAGATTGAGAGTTTAAGGCCAGTCTGGGCTACATAGTGAAACCTTTTCTCAACAACATTGAAAAATCTCATTGTATTTTCACTAAAGGAAGAACTTTATGGCTTGTCTTTGACTTATCTAAATTTCTAGCATCGTTACTTTAGCACTGTGGGCAATTATCAAGTAAAATAAAGGTTATCTGAACACACCATGATACTGTAGCAGTCCAAACTGAGACAGCTACTAGGTGACTAACAGACAGACAGGTGTGTACAGCTCGCATGGATTTACAGACAAGGGCTGAGTCAGAGTCACATCCAGGATGCAATGGAGCTGGACAGTGTGAGATTTCATCACCGTACTCAGAACAGTATACGATGTTTTGTTTGTTTGTGTATTATTATGGTACTGGGGATTAAACTCAGCGCCTTTATACTATAGGACCCAGCCTGGTACAAAAAAAAGAAAAAAGAAAAGTAAGACTGGGCTCAAACTTGTGATCCTCATGTTTTGGCCCCCATGCTGGGATTTCACTTGCCTAGTGTGCACATTTCCCTGAGTTCAATACCTAGCACCACAAAAAATAAATGTATAAATTATTTTTGGAATTTTCCTTTTACTACTTTCAGTCTGTGATTGACTGAAAACAGAAAACAAAACTCTGGGTTAGTGTGGAATCCATTATATTATATTTTCTGCTTTTGGATTTTAATCATGGCTTCAGGTTGGAGAAGAGCAAGGCCAAGAGAATCCCCCTGATCATGACCCAATTCATGACCAAAGTTGGTACCTGGACCAGACCCTCCGCAAGCGCCTCTACGAGGAGTATGGTGTGCAAGGTTGGGCCATCGTGCAGTTCTTAGGTGATGCCGTCTTCATACCTGCTGGAGCCCCTCACCAGGTGGGTTCTAAGTTGGCCTTGGACTGTGTAATTCCATGGACTGACTTCTTTTCTGCTTCTCTTTTTGAATCTGGCAAGAGATATAAATGAATTGGGTGTGATAACGTACCTTGTAATCCCAGCTACTGAGGAGGCTGAGCTTGAGGCAGGGGGATCGCAAGTTCAAAACCAGCCTAGGCAACTCGTCAAGGCCCTGTCTCAAAATAACAAAAAAGGGAGCCAGGGATTTAGCTCAGTGGTGCCACTGCCTGCCTTACAAGTACAAGGTCCTGAGTTCGATTCCCAGTACCAAAATTTTTTTTTAAATAACAAAAAAGGCGGGGGTTATAGTGGGAAGAGTAGCAGGTAGATAGAGATCAATGGCAGGATTGGACTGATTTTTTTTTTTTTTTTTTGTACCAGGGATCAAACTCGGGTCCTTGCCCTTGCCAGGCAGGTGGTGGAACCACTGAGCTAAATCCCCAGCCCTGGACTGATTGTTCTTAACCCACACCTTATTTTGTTTTTTAATTAAATGCTTGTTCTAAAACTTTTTTAATAGTGCAGAGTATTAACTAAAAGAATGAAATTCCTCACATAGCTGCTTGTACCATACCCATTTCAGTCCCCTCATCCTGACTTCCCAATCTAATTTTCTTCCCTGGAGGTAGCCCATCCTTAAAATTTTTTAAATATGTTTTTTAGACTATTTTCTATGAAAGTAGTAAAATTTTTATTTATAAATTTTTACAGCAGTATTTCCTGTTGTTGTTTGTTGTTTTTATAAAAACAGAGAGCCAAGTATGGTGGTATCTACCTATAGAGTCAGCTATTCTAGAGGCTGAAGCAAGAGTATCGCTTGAGCCCAAAGCTTTGAGGCCTCCTTGGGCAACATAGCAAGTGTAAAAGAAAAAATGGTGGGCTGGAGATTTAGCTTGGTGCCTCCACCTCCTGCCTTGCAAGCGAAAGGTCCCGAGTTCGATCCCTGGTACCAAAAAAAAAGAAAATATATAGAGCTGCTTTTGTTTTTACTATCATGACATTTTCAATGAGTAATTGAATCTCTGATGTCTGATGTTTTCTCTTTATATCCCTCACCTCAGGTTCACAATTTATATAGTTGCATAAAAGTAGCAGAAGACTTTGTGTCTCCAGAACATGTGAAGCACTGTTTCCGCCTGACTCAGGAATTCAGGCATCTCTCCAACACGCATACAAATCATGAAGATAAACTGCAGGTAAATCACCCATCTGCTCATGGTGCCCTCTCATCTCCTGCTCACATACACAGAAGGCACTCTACTGGCTCAGGTGACTTCTAGGGGTGTTACTGCAGGAGAAATGACTCAGAAACCTTGTCTGGGTACTTGAAGTTTTCCTTTTAGGAACATCTGATCCATCCTCTTCAGTTGCACTTAGAGACTACCACCCTTTAACCAAATCATTTCCAGTGTGATAATTCCCTGTTCTCTGCCCTTGGGAGCTCTAGTCAGTCAGTCTGTGTGTCTTTCTTTCTTTTCGTTTTTTGTTTGTTTGTTTGTTTTTGTTTTTTAAACAAGGTCTTGCTATGTAGCCCAGGCTGGCCTCACACTTTTGGCAATCCTCCTGGTTCAGCCTCCCAAGTGCTGGGATTACAGGTGTGTGACACTGTGCTCCAAAAGATTGTTTCAGTATAGTGGACCCTTGACTTACAAACTCAGTTTGTTTATGAGAGCTGGTTATAACTCAGGTTGGTCAGTTGAAGGTATAGGCTCATCTACACAGCCTTCAAAGTCTCTCCCCTGGCCAGGTGTGGTGGCGCACGCCTGTAATCCCAGCACTTGGGAGGTTGAAGCAGGAGGATTGCTGTGAATTCAAAGCCAGCCTGGGCTACATAGCTAGACCCTGTCTCAAAAAAACCCAAAGTCTCTCTCCTGTATGCAAGCAGATCTCAGGGTCCTTAGACATTGGCCCAGGATTTCTCAGTTAACCCCACACAGGAAAGGATGTTGTAATGTTCCTTTCAGAAATCTCTAAGGGTTAAATCTGTATCTGAGACCATCAGGAAGCATGAGCAAGTGGCCTACATTTGGGTCTTAACTCAAAACTTTGGCTGTGTAAGTTAAGACCAAAATTCCAATTGTAACCCAAGTTGTTTGTATGTCAGGCCAGTCATAACTCAAGGGTATACTGTATTAGTAACTGACTAGATTCACCTCCCTGTGCAGGTGGGAAAAGCACTATGGCAGTGTGTTCTAAGTACATTTCCAAAAAGAGGTCTGGCCTTGAAGCTATTGTGGGAGCAAATTTCTGTATCAACGCATTTTGTGAGAGCCTCCCTAAGGATTGTGCCTGGGAACTGTACTTGGAGGGGTGAAACTTGTTTTTCCTTATAAAGCCAGGCTGGGCATTCAGTTTAGGTTTCCTCTGCTCTTGCATTGCATTGGAATTTTAAGGACAGAATTTCATTGTTAATACATTTGGGCACTTGAGTAGTTAGTATAAAAGAGTAAGGAAGCAAGATTCACCATGCAGAACCTCAGCAATTTGATTACACACTGTCCAGCCTTTTATGGCCTCTGTCCTGCCAAGCCTGTTTGTCATTATCTTCTTTGGTGGTGACACATCAGGTTGGAGGAAGTTTTTCTTAATTGTTCATGGATCCAGTAACCTTCAACCCTAAGCCTGATCTGCTCTTCCTTTTTCAAAATTTAAAGGATTTCAAGCCAGGCGTGGTGGTGCATGCCTGTCATCCTAGCACTTGGGAGGCTGAGGCAGGAGAGTTGCTGAGAGTTGGAGGCCAGCCTGAACTACACAGTGAGATGCTGTCACAAAAAGAACACTACCCACCCCCCAAGAAAAAGCAGTAGGACCTTAAGCAAAGTTCTTAAATATGGAACCTTGATTTCCTCAATTTGTAAAATGGAAATAATAAAACAGGTATGGTAACACATTCCTGTTATCCTGGCTACTTAAAAGGCTGAGACAAGATGATTGCTAGTTCAAGACCAGCCTAAGGGCCGGGATTCAGCTCAGTAATTCCTCCTCCGCCTGCCTCGGAAGCACAAAGACCTGAGTTCGATCTCCGGTACCAGAAATAAATACATAAATAATAAAAAAGACCAGCCTGAGCAACTTAGTGCCACCATGTCTCCACAAAGGCCTGAGGACGTAGTTCAGCGGTAGAGTGCTTGCCAGGGCCGTGGATTCAGTCCCCAGCACCAAAGAAGGGGTGAGTGGTTCTGTACGGGGGAGTGGTAGTTGAATCATCTCACAAAGATACAGCAAAGATTAAACGAAAGTACATATAGAGAGCTTAGTAACAGGCCAAGAACATGGTAAACACACAGATGATAGTATATAGCCTTTCCAGGGGTTTCATTATTCTTTCTTGGAAATGGACCGTGTGAGGTACGTGATTTGTGAATCACCGTGAGGATTGACTTAGGAAGTGCAGTTGTTGGGATTGCCTCACTAACCAGCGGGCCTCGTCAGGGTAGAGTGCACACTTGTGTTTTCAGGACCATGGCACACAGATGCCATGAACTAATGGTGCTGATTACCCTCCAGGTGAAAAACATCATTTACCACGCAGTGAAAGATGCTGTTGGCACCCTCAAGGCTCATGAATCCAAACTGGCACGGTCATAGGAATGGAGAAGTCCCAAGCACCCCCATGAAGCAGGTCTTTCGCTCACGACACTCACAGGGACTGGCAGGGTTCTCGGTGCAAGTAGAGGCCCTTGCCCGGAGCCGGTGTGGTCAGTATTACAGACTCTCCAGCCACTCTCTGCACCGCCTCAGAACTGAAGGCTGCACTGCTCACACACTTTCAGACTCCAGCCCAGGGTGCTGCCTCCCCCACCCTGCAGCCTCCGGGAATCTGACTGCCTGGACATCATGGGCTTTCCTGCACATTCTCCTGATTTGATATCATGGAAACCAGAAATGTGGGCACACCGTTTTTCTCTCTTCCTCTTGTGCCTAATTAAGTGGGAATGTGTTTGGAGCTGGCGGGAACCCCATAGCTGGTACAAGTAGAGGTGATTGCTTACACACACCTGGTGGAAGCCTTACAGTGTCTGCACATGACTCCGACACAGCGCGTCCAGGAGACGGCGCAGTCACTCCCCATACTCTCCCTGAGCACTGGAGTCTCAGGACCTGGGAGAGTCCACTGCTTTTCCCCAGGAGGCTCCAGGATTAGGAAATGTGTGTATTTAGTGAAAAATAGGTTTGTAGTGAAATAGTAACTATTTCATGAAAGTAGATATTTTTAGAATTTTTGAAATGCCACAGTTGTTTTCCTGGATTACAAGGAAAGGCACATGACATTTAGTCTTCCTTTCGCTAAAACTCTTTGAAGAAATATGATTTTTAGAAATCAGCTGCCCATCATAGCACAAATTCAGCCAAAGCAGAACTTAAAGGAATTGGCTTTTAGAATTCTTTTAGTCCCATTCTGTCCCCTGTCCCCTCTTAGTGTTCTTGAGGGATCAGCCATCTCGGAACTTGGTCTTGTCCGAGCTGTGGTGTGTTCCCTCATGCACCCATGGTGACTCCGGGAGCCGTCTTCACCTCTTACCAGCGTTCCCTTGGGACTCCTCAGACATTTCTAAACACAAAACAAAGCTTAATTTCCAACATGACGTTTTTGGGTTTTTGTCCAGAAATATTTTCAGCAAAACTTTCCAACTCAGTGGAGTTTTTATTAAGAATTTATTTGAAAATGATGGAATTCATTGGCCCATAGGTACATTGGGAAATTATCTCTTTCCAGCTGTACTGTAATGCCCTGCAGGCTTGTTTATATGTTCACACTTTTTTTTAAATAAAAGTCATTTACTGTAGAATACTTTTAATTTCACTTTCTGTATTTTAATTTTGTTGAAGGGCTGATTGGGATTTCCATGTTCTTATTAAAAATCTAACAAATTTGTGTGAGTGAACTACATTCTTCTGTGCCAACCCTTCTAAAATCAGGGCCACATTGCAGGCTGCTGGGTTAGAGATGGGAGATTACTTTCCAGGTCTTCACTACTACATTGATCTTTATTCTTTGTTTTCTGAACTTGGAACCAACTGGGAGAAGGGAAAGTTCCAGGGTGAAGTCAGTATGGTTTAGAACAGTAGTGGCAAACCTTCTGCACACGTGCCTTTGAAAGCAGTAAAAGGTTCACCATCACCAGTTTAGAGGATGAATGAAGGAATGGTTTCCCAGTTTGTGCTCCGTGACAGGGCAGAGGCTGGGGGAAAGGGCTGTGGTGTGTGGCCAAAGCAAGGTTTCGGTACTAGTGGTAGAATTCCTCAAAGCAGGAGACCTGACTGTCCTTTTATGAAAACTGTGGCCCTAGATCTACCTGAGAGAAGGTGGAATAATGTCAAACAGGTGTTTTGTTTTGTTTTTTGGTACCAGAGATCTGCCCAAGCAGGCTTTTTTTATCAAGCATAATTGAAGTGTCAGCTGGGGATTTAGCTCAGTGGCACAGCACCTGGTTGGTAAGTGTGAGGTCCTGATTTCGACCCCCAGTTCCAAAATAATAATTAGTATTATTAATACTGAAGTGTTGGAGAATTGAGAACAGAGTGCATTCCAGTTAGAAGACTTTTGGAAAAGCTTTTGTAAGGATTAGCAAGAGGGGTCATAGAGGCTGCTTCTCTGAAACCTATTGGAATACATGTAAACTTGGAGATACAATGATCAGGTTTGGAAATAGACCATTGTGTAGTTCCAGGATGCTGAGTTTGAATAAGACCATAATTCTTTGAAATACAGAACTCAGCAGGTCCATTCAGCCCAGATGGGCACAGGTTGATGCTGTGATCACCAGAAGGGTTACACCTCAACATAGGATGTAGGGGCGGCGGCAGCTTTAAAGTGGGGCAGGAAAGGAGAGCAGTGGGGCTGGCGGGGGGGGGGGGGTGGGGCTTGAGGGCGGAAAGGGTGGGTGGGGGGGGGGGGGGGGGGTGGGTTGGAGCTTGGTTGCTTTGGTGAAAACCAGGAGGCAGGCTAGCCTACATTCTGGATAAAAATGTCCTCAGAACTAGGACATCCGGTGCTTGCTAAGTGGGGGTGGAACTGGAGCCCCTGCGCTTCTCTACCTGTGTCCCAGCCCCACTGTTGGAAGTGAAATCCTGCGCTCGCCAGTCCCAGCTCCGTTCCCCTCCAGTTCACAGACCACCTTTAAAAAAAGCAGATCCGGTGGCACCTGCACGTCTTCTTTCAACTGGGGATTGGGGATTGTGGAGAAAGGGTGGGATGGACTTCAGGTGAATGTTTTTCCAAGACTGTAATAGGGCAGGAGCTTGCTAATCAGTAGTTAGGGATGCAGCCTGTTCAGAATTCCTGGGTTCCTATCTTAAGGGTATGACTTAGTGGTTCTGTGACCTTCTTGCAAATGACTGAACCTTCTTAAACCTCCCAATTCCTTATTTTCAAGATAAGAATAATTATAACTTACGCCTCATAGGATGATCGTGAGGATTCAGTGCAGTAATGTATGTAAAGCTCTTAGCAAAGGGTCTGGCTCACAATAAGCCTTCAACAAACCATAACTCGTTCTTCATGGGATACTTAAGCCTTCAGCCTGATGTGCACAGAACAGGAGGTGGGCTGGGACCAATGTCAGTCTCCGCCCGGGGACTCCAAGCCCAAGGAAGGTGAACCCACGCCTAGAGTAGAGCTCGGAGGGCGAAGGCGCATGCCCAGCCCCAGCAGGTGCTGGTGGGGCGGGCAAGGCCCTGCGACCTCCCCTTTAAGAACCGCCGCCGCCCACGGCCAGCCGCTGCGGCAGGGACCTCCCCTTTAACGCCGCAACTCGGAGCTCGCTGCAGCTGCATCCTCACCGGGCCGGTCCCCGCCCTGCGCCGCGCTCGGCCCCGCCATGGTGTCCTGGATCATCTCTCGTCTGGTGGTGTGAGTGCGGAGGCAGGGGTGGGGTGGGTGACTGGTACAGTGAAGGGATGGGGGTTGCTGCCGGCGCATCGTCCCTGCGGGGGCTCCCGGGAACAGATGTGGGACCCAGGGCTAGAAGGGGCCATGGCAGACCTGGCTTTCCGGGACCTCACCCACGTTATTCATCAATAACTCCTTTTATGTTGAATTTCCTGCTCCTGCGCCCTCCACAGGGGCTGGGCAGCCCCTGGGTTATAGGAGAGGTGGGCTCTTCCCTCTGACTGGCAGATCTGGGATGCAGGACCCGAGCCTCGGATCAGGCCCACCTCCCCCGTCCTCATGCCAGAGCGCAGAGCGTGGCTGGTTCCATCGGGCCCTCCTTCCCTCCTCGCTCTGGCTTCCGCTGTCAGAGGACACCTTAAGATGCCTGGGATGGAAGTCCAGTCATCCATCGGAAAGCAGAGGTCCAGGGAGGACAAAGTGTGGGGTATTGGGGAAGGGATGTGTTCAGCCTGGGATTGTGAAAGTGCTCCCCATCCAGGGTGTTGGTGGCCTTCACTTCTGGCTGCAAGCCACATTGTAGGGCTCTGTCCCTGACTTATCTTTCAAGGCCCGGGAAGAAAACCCCCCATACACACACACACACACACACACACACACACACACACACACTCTTGTCCTTGAGGCTTCTGCCCTACCCCCCACCTGCACAGGCACCTGGGGAGCCAGAGCCAACCGTTGCCCTGAGCTCAGGACCCTACCCCTCAGCTTCCGCCATGGCTGACCCCCTGCGGGCCTGCCCTGTTGCCTGCCCCTCACTGGTGTCACGTGCTGATGTCCTGGTTTGCTAGACGTCTGTGTGGCCTGTAGGATGGTTTGTCCTCTCTGGCCTGGGCAAGCTCCCTAAGGGTCACTGCCTCTTTTTTCCACCTCTCCTTGTGTCTTACCTCTGGTCTGCAGTGGGATCACCAGCCAGGGCCTTGAGTCAAGGACCCTCCTGCGCCTGGTCCCCAGGGTGTTTTCAGGGCCTCCTGCCCCTGTGCCCTCTGGTCCCCAGGGCCAGAGTAGTGCCTCTAACTGCCGGTGGAGTGCTGTGTGAGGTGGTGTCAGGTTCCTTTGTGGAGCGAGCCCTAGCCTGCTTGGCTTTCTCTGAGACAGAGGTGGAGGGTAAGAGAAGATGGGTTAAATAGGCATAAAGCCAAGAAGGAAGGCACTCCTGGAGCAGTGACCAGACCTCCCACTCCACCGGGACTTGCTAGTGCATCACCGAAGATGGAGGATCATGGTCAGTGGGACCACTTTGGACCTTCTAGCCTCTGGCAAGGCCTAGAGAAGAAGTGAACACTGCAGAGGGAGGGGCATGGCCTTCCCTGGCTAGGGTTCCCATGCATGTGCATCTGGAGTCTTGACTGCCTTGGCTTTAACCCCTGATGTGGCTCTCTGGAGTTCTGTCACTTTTCCGGTCACCTACCCACGGGCTGGTGCAAAGTTGGGTGGGAGAGGGGCCCAGTAACCATGCCTGCCTCCCTAGGCTCATCTTTGGCACCCTGTACCCAGCCTATTCTTCCTACAAGGCCGTGAAGACCAAAAATGTGAAGGAATATGTGAGTGGATGACCCAAAACCCCTACCCAATCCACATGGCAGTGATAGAACACAGTGGGTCACACAACAGATGGGGTGACTTAGTGCCAGCCCTGTCAGCTACTGACAAGACCCTGAGTCATGCATGCCTGTAATTCCAGCCATTTAGGAGGCTGAGGCTGGAAGATTGCAAATTCAAAGCCAACCTGAAGAATTTAGCAGGACCCTGTCTTCAAATCTAAAAAACAAATATAAAGGACTAGAGACAAACCTCAGAACTAAGGCCCTGGGTTCAATCCCCAGTACCCCAAAAACAAAATAAAACAAACAAAACTTGAGAAAGGGAACTTCCAGGGTATTCATTTCTCCCAGCCTTAGTGTGATCCACAAAATCTGGGTCCTAGGTGTCCCGCCTCCCCCCAGCATGTCAACAGGCGGAAGTGGGTTCCTGGGTGCTCCTCCCCTTAGCACTGGTACAAGGAACCAGCAGTGCAGATGGGGGCCTGGGTGTTCCTGCCTCTCAGCCCCAGGCCCCAGTGGACGTGACCCTCTGTCCCCCCAGGTGAAATGGATGATGTACTGGATCGTCTTTGCCTTCTTCACCACGGCCGAGACACTCACAGACATCGTGCTCTCCTGGTGAGGTCCCCGCCAGCGTCTCAATGCCCAGGCCCCTACCTTTCTCACCAGGCAGACGGAAGACTGGGACCCAGGGTGCGGGCCCCCGACTCCTGGCCGCTTCTTGGAGTCAGCAGAGTAGGAATAGAAAATCCCCTCATTCTTCGTTCCGCCCAGCATTCAGGAGGCCTACTCACTTACTGTCCCTCTAGGTCATGGCCCTCTAGGGCGCAGCCTCCCTGTTTGTGGAACAGCCATCTGATTCGGTCCTATAGACCTGGGATGCTTGTGTTCCCAAGGCACTTCCCGGGCACTCTTAACTATGCATAAGTGAGCACTTTGAGGACAGGAGATGTATCTGAATCAGTTGCACGTTGACACGAGAAGCTCAGATATGTTTGCTGAATGAGCAAATTCCTCTTGGAAGACCATACTAACAACACAGTGCACTGGAAATAAAAAGAGTTTTACAGAGGGCTGGAAGGTGGAAGATCATTGCAGCAAGGCCCATGTATCTGAGAACAATGGTTTTAGCAGGGGAAAGTGGTTAGAAAAGAGATGGGCTTAAGGATAATGAGTAGCTTCCCTTGACACAAGCTAAGGGGAGGGCTCGATAAGGTTCCTTCTGAGGATGTACAAGACCTGAAGGGACTGTGGCCTGGGCAGGAGCAGCTATGGGAACAGAGAGCAGTTCTTAAAAGCAAGGGCCTCTGGGCCATTTCACGTACCCATAGTCCCAGCTATCAGGAGGCTGAGGCAAGAGCAACCCAGAGCCCTGGCGTTGAGGCCTGGACTGCATAACATAGACACCAGCTCAAAAACATTTCTTTAGCTGGGTGTGGTGGCACACTCCTGGGCAATTTAGCAAGATCCCGTCTCAAAAAAAGTAGGGGGCTGGGGATATAACTCAATGTGAAGGCCATGGATTAAATCCCCAATGCAATCCCACCCCAGATCCCATCCCAGCCCCCTTCGTGGAGGGAGGACAGGAAGAGGAGGGACTTGGAGAAGTAGGTGAGGAAAGCTGCTGCCGGCAAGAACTCCTGGTCACTTCTTATCTTTGCACCCAGAGTCTCAGCTGAGCCTCCCAGTTCCCTGGGGAGCTGCACGGTGACCTCAGCACACAACAACGTGATGGGTCATCCAGGGTCAAGCAGGGATCAGTGTTGCCCATCCAGCCACCCTGACTCCTCCCTGTGCTCTGTGCTTGCCTCTGTCCCCACACCAGGTTCCCCTTCTACTTTGAGCTCAAGATCGCCTTCGTGATTTGGTTGTTGTCCCCTTACACCAAGGGCTCCAGCGTGCTCTACCGAAAGTTCGTGCACCCAACGTTGTCCAACAAGGAGAAGGTTTGTCCTGCTCTAGCTCCCTTCCCAGCCCGCCCCGTGCACTCTCTCGGCTCTCCCTGGGTCATCTGGCCGGGCCCTGGCCTGCCGGGCCAGGCAGTACCTCGGTGCAGGTGTGAGCAAAGGCAGAGCGGCCCCCACCCCTCACCCCTTCCTCCTTCCCCTCACCCCT